CAGCTGTACCTGGCGTTCTGTGTATCTGAGCGTTCTCGTCCTGTGGCTGAGACCTCCGTTACCCTTCCCTGGAAACCTGACTCATCTTGGGTGTTCTGTTTCGTTTTTGTTTTCAGGCTAAACAGGGCCAGTCAAACTTACTTCTTCCCTATTCACTTGACGGACCAGCTTCTTCCCAGCGCCGTGTTCTATGCCACCGTGGGGCCGCTCGTGGTCTACTTTGCTCTTCACCGTCTGGTCATCAAACCATACCTCAGGGCTCAAAAAGAGAAGTGAGTTCCTAACATGTCACGGGGACATCAGTAAACAACTCTGTGCCTCAGTTTTCCTGTGTTTTATATGGATATGATAATTATAGAACCTACTCAGAGGGTCACTAGGAAAATTAATTCGTACATGTGAAGCCTCAGCATGGCGTTCGGCCCGTAGTGGGTGCTCGGTCGGTGCTGACTGGGCTCATTAGCGGCCCTGCTGCTGGGCCCCCTTCACTCATCCCTCCTACTTCCAGAAAGGGTTAGAGCTAGTTTACAAAATTGTGCAGACTCTACACTGTGACCACAGGAAATAGAAAGGCCCCCGTCCTCATTCTAACCATTTCTTTTCCTGGCACTGAGTTCCACAGGAGTGGGTTTGAGTTCTTAGACACAGGCGTGCATTAACCACAGTCCTGGAAATTACAGAAACATTCATTTATTTTGCAGTTTCTTGTAGACAACACACTGGGGGATAGCATTCCATCTGAGAGGTGGTTGAGATTCATTACTTACAACAGTCTGATGTAACAAGTCGCTGAGCTCAGAGAATCTCCTCTTTGGGGCCCCTCCAGCGTTTGAATCCCTGGAGTTCAGGGCCCTGCTTCCCCAGGAGGCTTGAGGCCTAGAAAGAAGAGTGTGTGGGGTCAAGGCTTCTGACGGGACAGGGCTGCGCTGCCCGGAGTCCCAGTGCTTTGCTACGTAAGAAAAAGGTATATTTTGTACCTAAAACAGTAAACATTGTCCCCACCTCAAGTGTTCTATGATAGTCCCAGAAGGTGGCCTCCCCTGTGGTCCTCAGCTCTCCAACCCCTCACTGCTGAGATTCCTCTCAGGTGGGGGCTGCTTCCCACGGCAGCGGGCCTCCTATGTGCTTCAGTGAGGAGGTAGGGGAGAGCCATCTAGGGACAAAAGAAAGGGCAGCCGCAGAGGCCCGAAACGAACAGATTTGCTGGAGATGGGCTTGGAAAGATTTGCTAAAGCTCCAGAGCTAGGAATGCAGGGAGAGCTCACACTGTTCGCTGGGCGCAGGTCCAGCGACGCGCTCTGTTGTCTCAGTCCGCGCTAACATGTGGCTTGTGTTTTTCTCGCTTTAGGGAGTTGGAAAAGCAAAGGGAAAGCACAGCCACCGACATTCTGCAGAAGAAACAAGAGGCAGAAGCGGCTGTAAGTGCTGCGCAGGCGCATCCCCGAAGTCCTTCTGCTCTGGGTGACTCCGGCTGCACGCCTCTCACCGGGGCTCGGGGATCACGGTGCCCTCTGCACGTGGGCCTCAGGGGCCAGCAGCTTCACTGGTCATTTCACTCTTTCTAATCCCTGCGGGATACAATACCGGGACCTCCAGGCCCGGTCCTGAAGATGAGATGCAGTTACCCTCGAAATGCATAACAAGGTGTTTCTAAGAACCGGAGGGCCCTGTCTGTCCTCTTTTTCTTCCCTTTGAGTGAACTGTTGTTAGGTGACAGAACAGAAATATCTGGCATAAATGCAGGGGTACCACTGGGTTCTTTGTGAACAGAGGGGTGAAAATGTGGCCATGCTTATGCTACAGCTGAACCCAGAGGCAGAGCCCAGGAGGGACCCTGACAGTGGCCCTCCTTGTTCTTTGCAGGTTCGGTTGATGCAGGAATCTGTCCGAAGAATTATTGAGGCGGAAGAGTCCAGAATGGGTGAGAAGGCCTGGCCTCTCTCGGGGCGGGGTGGGCGCTGGGGGTCTCAAAGGGGCACGGCGCTCCTGCGGCCCGGCTGTGAGAGACCCACCTCTGCTCAGACTGCGTCCATCCTCAGGGCTCATCATCGTCAACGCCTGGTACGGGAAGTTCGTCAACGACAAGAGCAGGAAGAGCGAGAAGGTGAAGGTGATTGATGTGACCGTGCCCCTGCAGTGCCTGGTGAAGGACTCGAAGCTCATCCTCACGGAGGCCTCCAAGGTACGGGGCCTGCCCGCGGGGTTCAGACACGAAAGGCCTGTGTGGAGGGGGGCGGCCTGGCACCTTGGCATGGCCATTTCGTTGTGGTGGAACCGTTCGTGTCGCTGGCACTGGCTTGGCCTGCTGCCCAGCACCCGAATTATAGTCACACTGGAGCTGTTCACGTCACCCGTCCCCGCAGCAAGGATTTCCTGAGCACCTACTGTGTGCCAGGTAGGGCAGCGAACAAAACATGCATCCTGTCTTCACGGAGCTTACGTTCTCCTCATTCCTTGCCTTGTTCTAGAAAGAGTGTGAGTCTGTAGCACGTTGGAAGCTCATGCTGGAGCGCAGGGGTGGGGACGGTAAAGGCAAACTAAAATGCAGATCAGCTCAGGCCAAACACCTCGCTCTCTCAGGAGTCCTGGCGGGGCTTCTGTGAAGACAGGGGTCTCGAACGTGGGAGAAGGGGTCTGTATTGCGAGGGAAGCCTAGGGCTAAACAGGCAACTTTCTGACAATCTCAGCTCCGCGGTGTGCATCTTCCGTGGACGGCTCCTGAGGGAAGGTCAAGGCCCTTCCACGCTGATCCTCAGGTGGCGGCAGACAGCAGTGGTGCTGGGCTTGAAACAACGGTCTCGGGTCCCGTGGAGTGAGACTGTGTTTGTTACAGGCGGGGCTGCCCGGCTTCTACGACCCGTGCGTAGGTGAGGAGAAGAACCTGAAAGTGCTTTACCAGTTCCGAGGCGTCCTGCACCAGGTGATGGCGCTGGACAACGAGGCGCTTAGGATACCAAAGCAGTGTGAGTAGCTGCCCCTTTGCAGTCGCCTGCCCTGTGCACGGACCAGGGGGAGGCCCTCAACCACTGATGGGGACCGGGGACACCAGAGTGTGGAGTGACAGCCAGCTTCGCCGTGTTACCCGCCTGGGAGCGAGTGACTTGCTCAGAGCCCGTGATGGGATGCCCTGAGGAGGGGTGGCGGCCGCCCTTCCCCGGTGGGACTCCAGTGAGCTCTTTGCTTGGAAACTGCAGCTTGGGTGGCTGGGCCGGAAGCACACCCAGCTGCTTCTGTGTGTTCCAGAACCATTTGAATCTCCGCAGCTTGTATTCTGCCTCTGGTCAGGTGGTGGCTGAACCCCTTCGGTGGAAGAGGGCATGGAAACAGTTGCCTTTTGATACATTCAGTTTGTCTTGTCTTTCACAGCTCACAGGATCGATACAGATGGATAAACTGCTTGAGAAACCAGATTTACAAGAGGCTGCAAAAAATCCTTTCCTAGGAGTCTCCAAATTCAGAAGCAGGGAAAAAACCCAGACATCAGATGTGTTTATTTTATATTATTCCTAAAGAAGGTGGTACCGTATCAATTATGTGGAGGGACACACAGACACCCCGCTTTCATGGGTGTTGTAAGTAGGACTGAGGCAGCCCCACCTGGACCAGAACCGTGGCACGGCCTGTGGCTGTTTCCCAAGGATCATGTCCCTGGAGGGAAGGGCCCTGGGCACTGGTCATTTCACTCTAGGCTCCCGAGCCCCGCGTGCCGACTGCAGCCACCCAGTAGCGCTCGGTCTTGAGGTATTTATGGAACATCCTGCCCTCACACGTAGGACTGTGAACTACTTTTCCTAAAATCCACACTGAGCATGGAAAACAAAATGGAAAGGAAGGAAGTTGTTCTCGTGAGCAGAGGTCTCCAGAACAAGTGAGCGTCTGTTAGTCAACTTCCCAAAAACCACTTTTTCCTGCTGAAATATTATTCAGTGAAGCTGGAGAGGATTGTGTGGGTTTATAAATCTGCTTTTTATCTGAGAACGAATGGTTTTGGAAATTAATGTCTTCCTCCCCCCCCCCCTCCCCCCCCCGAACTTCTGGAATCATTCCACTGGCACGTGGCTTGGGACAGAGTGGTATAATCCCCCGGTCCCAGGGCCCAGCCCTGTCACCGGTCACTTCCTCCCAGGGGCCACCTGTGTCCTTGTGGCAGAAGGCAGATGCGAGCTAAGCCATGTCCCTCGCAGCCTGCCCCCATGGCTCAGCCTGACCTGCCTCTGCCGCCCCCCCACCCCCCGACACTGGAGCTCAGGAACGGAGGGAGGCTTGGAGGAGAGGGCAAGCATGGGCCGGGGACTGAAAGGACCCTGGCTCCGGGTCCTGCCAAATGCCCCCCATGCTGGGAGAGCAAGGCCAGCCGGAGCCTCGCTTGCTTTCTCGTGCGCGGCCAGCAGGTGGCGCAGCTGCTCCCACGCCTCCTCCCGCCCCACTCCCTCCTCGGGGGGGACTGGTGGCGCCTCCCAAGCCCCTCTTCCTTCACTTGCCTCTTCTGTGGATGCAGAACATTTTCGAAGCCGGGAGGCCCTGGCTGGTGGTGGGTCTGACAGCGCCCCACCCCCCAGCCCCGCAGCTACTGCTAAAATCAGGCTCTGCGGTGGTACCAGAGTAATTGCTGATACCCCCTTACTCCAGTTTTCAAAAACAGTTCAGGTCGTAAATTCTGGAATATTTATCTCCATTTGATAAAGTTTTTCTCTGAGCTGCAGCTCTGAATGTAAATCGTGCAATAAGGTGGCGTGAACTCTGACTTTGGACGCGGCCCTTCGTCCCTCCACGGCAGGTGGCTCTTTGGGCCCCGATTCTCTTCATTTTGTCTGAAACGGACTGTACAGAAGGCGCTCTCTTACCACAATAAACCTTTCCTGAAAACTGGGGATAGTGTTTCAGTGCATCTGTATGTGCGTTTTCAGGGGTGAGCAAAATACCTAAGTGATAAGAGCCCCCCTTCTCACACCCTCATTCCATCCTCTGGCCGTCACTGTCGAAGCCCCGTTTTTAACCATGAGGCTGAACTGGAAGCCGTGGTTCAGTTTTCCACATTAGACCTCTGCCTGAGGAACAGGAGTCCAGAGTCAGGAGATGACTTAGGCTAGGATCCTTGTTTTCCTGGAGGTCGTGTGGTGTCATTTGGTTTGGTTTGGTTTGGTCTGAGTGTTCCCAGATCCAAAAAAATCACCTCTCAAGTTTTTCAGAAACCTTCGGACACATCTTACCAAGGGCTGCATAAAACGGAGCTGAAGCCCAGAGGCGCAGACGCCTAGTTCCCGGGGAACAGAATCCTCACCGACTGCATCTTCTGCTTTACGCCTTTTGTCATAAAAGTGAAAACCCCCCTCCGATTTCCTTGGGTTAGCGAAAGCAGGTACTAATGCAGGTCTTTTGTAAAAGCAAATGGTGTAACAAACTCCGAGAAACACGGGACCCCTGTCCGAGTTTATAAATAAAGGAGGAAAACCTGCAGCGTAGGAAGACACTTTATTCTGTCCATCACTCACGCCAGGCCCCGGGAGGCCCGCCTCAGAACAGAGGCCAGTCTCAGCCACCGCGCCGTCACCCCCTCTCGTGTCCTTCCCTGGGCCCCGCCGCCCCTCGGGAAACGCACTCCACCCCCCTCGGCTCAGGACGCCTCCTCACGCTGTGGTGCTGAAGACCCCCGCCCAGCTTTCGTTGGAAGGACAGTTGGGCCCCGGCCCCTCCGGGAGGACCGAGTCTGTCCTGCCCACCGTCCCGCTCCTGTCCCGGGCCGGCGCGGCTACACCTCCCCTGAGGTGGCTGGGGGTGGGCCTGGCCTGCCTCACTGTCGCTTCAGCGGCCACGGCCCGAGCCCCAGAGGCGCTGACAGGGAAGCCTGGCCGCCCGGCTCGGCTCGGCGCTCGCGGCTGCCCCGCTCGGTGGGCGCGGAGGCGGCCGGACATCCTCTGCATCACCAGCCTCTGGGCCTTCAGGCGCTTTCGGAGCTTTTCGTTCTCCTTCAGGGTCAGGAAGAGTTTTGTTTTTAGGGCATCTAGGTCCAGGAGGGCGTAGCTGTGGTCGGACGGCTGTGTGGGGCTGGCCGGCGGACCGGGGGCCGGGGTTCCCTGCGGTCTCTGCGGCAAGCCCTGAGGACAGAGGCGCGTGAAGGCGGAGGCGAGCCCGGGCCCAGCAGGGCTGCCACCGCGGGACGGCGACAGGCGGGGGCCGCGGAGGCCGGCGCAGACTCCGCACAGGGCTCCTGAGGTCCGGGCCGCGGGCCGGGGCGCTCGTGGCCTGGGCACCAGTTTGCCTCACTCTGCTCGAAGCAAATCCCCGTGTGCAGAGACCGGCCAACCACCTGCTGCCTTCGGCCCCAGGCCCCGGGCCTTACCTGCTCCGTGGCGCCGCCAGTGCTCGGGGGCAGCGCTTCGAGGGCACTGGCAGTCCTTCTCCCCGGGCCGCACTCTGCCGGCCCCGCCTCGGGCACGACCTGGGGACAGCAGGGCAGAAGTGGGCAGCCCACCGGGAACCCTTCCCGCTCTCCGCTCTCCCGGCGGGGGCCGCGGCCAGGCACCGGCAGAAACCAACAGGCTCCCCAGGCCCGGGCCTGGGATCAGACCTCAGGAAGCGGGCCGAGCCAGCCCCCCAGGCAACTTGGGCTGCCCGCTATCGAACAGGGAGGAAAGCACAGAATCCGAACCCTGGTTTGTGAGGAGAGCATGACCAAGCCGTGCAGGCCGGGGCTCGGGGGGGCACGTGCCCCCCCCGGCGTCTGCGCCGAGGCCTCGGTCCTGACTCGGGGCGTGCCAGAGCACTCACCTCCTCCTTGTAGGAGTCCACGTGTGCACCCCCGCCGGCCGGGTCTGCGTTCTGCCTCACCAGCTGCAAGACACACAGCACTGTCCACAGGCTCCCCGGGGGTGCAGGTCACCCCCAGAACCGGCACCACCCACTGGCTCACTCTCCCTGAAGCTGTCCCCAAATCTTAGGTCAGAGGCCCGGGAACAGGCCCCGTGAAGCCAGGGACCTGATTCCTTCGTGTCCCCCAGGGCCTGACACTCCAGGCCCATAGGAGGTGACTCAAATTCGACTCAAGGCGCGGCAGCCACCTAGGCGAGAACCTCTGACTCAGGGCCTGCTGCCAGTGCCCGGGCATCCCCGGAGCCGAGCCCCCAGCCACGGGGCCGGAAGCAGCGGCCCCTACCCCTAGCTCTTGGCGCCGGGCACCGACAGCCCCCCAAGCTGTTAAACTAAGCTCACTTCACATCTCACCACAAATGCATGAGAAGTGCTCGAGCTCCACTCGCAACAGGCACTGACGGAGGAGGGGGCTGGTCAGAGGGCAGCGTCAGGCCATCAGGACGATGAGGTTCCAGACCCCGCCGCCCTGCCCCGTGCCCGTGGTTGACAGCACGTACCGTACACTCGGAAGTGGGTCAAGAGGCTAGATCTCACGTTACGTGCTCTGACCGCAATAAAAATCAAATACGTATCACCTGAAAACAAAAGGCCTTCCACGTCGGCGACAACGAAACCTCCTCGGCGTCGGGAGTAAAGCTGTGAAACAAACCCCTGCCCTCAGGGAGCCGACCAGAGAGAGAAGCTGAGTCAGAGCAAACGCACGTGTGCCACCCCCCACCCCCCCGGAGCCACAAGGAGCCGGCCCGACGGGAAGCCAGGCGAGCGGGGGGACAATGGACAGCGGTCGGGGGGCCCTCCTCCAGGGGACGGGAACATGGACTTGGACAGGAGGCCACGAGCCCGCAGACGGGCACAAAGTTCGGACGGAGGGCAGGCGCCCCGACGCAGGGCCTGCTGGGCACATGCGCTCAGGCTTCCTCACCCCTGTAACCGCCTCCCCTCTCACTGCCAGTACCATCGGCCCCCACGGGTACCGGCTGGCCTTGGGTGCCCAGGGTGACGCCCGCACTCTGCGACTCAGTACACCTCTGGGACTTGGGAAATTCAAGATAATCCCCCTCAGGGCCTCCACGTCCAGCAGTCCGGGAGCTCTCCCCCGAGCCGCCCCACAGGAGCCACGGCCACTCCAATGGCCCGCTGGGAAATCAAACTCCAGATGCACAGGGCCAAACTCAGAGAATCAGGGCACCCCGTCCCCCGGGGGCTCAGCGGGCTCGGCCCTTGCCGGCCGCCACCCTCTCAGCCCACCGGGCCTGCAAAGGCCACCCGCCCTCGCGACCACACCCCCCTTCAGCTCAGGCCAACCCGACGGCACACGCGACACCAGGGGCTCCAGCCGGAGGGCGCCTTCTCCCCTCCCCCGACAAACCGTGGCCCCTGCCACCCTCCAACCAGCCAGAGCTGACGCTGTCGGCGAGCGGGCCCCAACCCCTGCCAGCTCCAAGTCTGGGCCCCGCGGCCCCCCGGCCTCCCTCCGGCTCTCCCCCTGCAGCAGCCTTCCCTGCGCGGCCCAGAGCTCTCAGCCGGCGCGCCACCTGCTGCGTGGGAGCGGCATGGTGTCCGGCTTCCTGACCACAGCTCCCGGCCCCCGCTGCCTACTCGGAAGAAAAAGACAAGGTCTGAATGCAAGACAGCCACCACCGGCCACTCGGAAGGTCTTCACCGTGCAGCCTCAAGCCACGGGACGCCCAGCAAACGAAATGCATGTAGGCGCCTGGAGGGCTCAGTCAGTGAGGCGTCTCCTTCGGCTCAGGTCACGATGCCAGGGTCCTGGGATCGAGTCCCGCGTCGGGCTCCCGGCTCAGCGGGGAGCCTGCCTCTCCCTCTGCCTGACGCTCCCTCTGCCTGTGCTCTAATAAATAAATAAAATCTTTAAAAAAAAAATGAAATGCATAGAGGACCAAGCTTTTGGTGCACTTGCCAGTCAGCTGCTTCAGCAGCTTCTGGTTGCAGGGCGTGATTTGGGGGGGCGGGGCGGGGGGAAGAGGGAGAGAGAAAGAGAGAGAATCCTCCATCAGGCTCCACACTCAGCACAGAGCCTGACCCGGGGCTCGATCCCACGACTCTGAGATCATGACCTGAGCCGAAACCAAGAGCCAGACACTTAACCAATGAACTGAACCACCCAGGTGCCCCATGCGTGATCTATTTTTAAAGGGGCTTTATTTTTTTAATTTTTTAAAATATTTTATTTATTTATTTGACAAAGAGAGCACAAGCAGGGGAGTGGCAGGCAGAGGGAAAAGCAGACTTCCCGCTGAGCAGGGAGCCCGACGCAGGGCTCGATCCCAGGGCCCCGGGATCATGACCTGAGCCGTTTAAGGACTGAGCCACCCAGGCGCCCCTAAAGGGGCTTTAAATTGCAAATGACCTACAGCAAAGGTCATGGCCAGCAGGGCAGCTGGGCTCTGAACCCCGGGGGGCTGCCCTCACCGCACTTCTCAGCCTGCAAACACCACGCCCGCCCCAGCTGCTGGCTGCACCCCTGCAGGCTGGAGCTGAAGACATTAGAGGTGGTGCCGTGTTCACCTGCGCGGCATCCTGAAAGGCGAACACCGTGGGCACGGCATTCTGCTTCAGGTTTTTGCGGTTTCCAAAGGCGCTGAAGCACTCGGGTCGGAAGTGCTCGGAGCAGATGACCGTGTGCTGCTTGGGCTTGAAGTTGCCCCGGCCGATGTTCAGCACCCATTCCTTCAGCAGCTCTGGGCGGCTGAACGGGAACCTAGGAGGCAAGGGAGACATGAAGGAATTTGCGAGGCTCAGGTTGGCACGGCAGAGTTGTGTGGAATTTTGAAAACACCACATGGCATTTTACTGGACACCTTGGAAAATTCAGTGACCTCGCTCTGTTAAACCACATCCAATTTCTGGAAGCTTCTGTCATGCCTGTTTACAGCATTCTCAGTAGGCAATGTGGGGCCACAAACGTGGCCAGGAAACCTTCCGAAGGTACACTTGCAGGGCAAGCCTGTTAGTGCCTTGGGGAGTCCGCCGTGTGCAGGCCCTGCCCCTGGCTCTGGGAAGTAGGAACGAATAAGTCTCACCCTCATAGAGCCTACATTCTAGAACAGGAAAACAGACAGTAAACCGAACAGACATAGACTGCGTCGCAATCAAGTAGGAAGTGGTCAAGAAGGCCTCCTGAGAGGTGACATCTGAGCAGAAGCCGCAGGAAGGACAGCGAGCCATGTGCGTATCAGAAGGAAGAGCAAGTGCCAAGGCACTGTGACGGGGCCCCCAGCATGTCGGGGTCGTGGTCAGAGGCGGGTTTGGCTGAGAGGGTGGGAGCAAGAGCAGGGGTGAGGACCTCAGGAGGCAGCCTCGGGCAGGTGGGCAGTCCCTGGAAGCTCTGGGCCGAGGGTGACAGAGGAGGGTGGGCAGCTGGTGGCTGCGACCCGGGTGTCAGCGGAGGGGTCATGAGCAGGCAGACCGGGGATGCATTTCGAAAGCTGGTGCAATAAGGTTTGCTTGTGAGCCGCAAAATAAAGAGAAGGAAGGAGTTTCGTGTATTAAGATGGGAGGGGAGGTACTGTCGGAGGGGCAGGCCTGGGGGATCAGAATTTAGGTTCTGTTTGTTAAATCTGAAGTGCCTTTTACATGACCAAGTGCTGAAGTGCAGCAGCAAGGGACACGTGTCAGGAGACGTCAGCGTGGGGACCGTCCCTGTGTAAAGGGTGGTGAAGCCTGGGGGAAACTGGAGCCCTGGGGAGTGAGTGTGGATGGGGAGGACACAAGGCGATGGCCCCCCCCAAAGGGCTCCAAGGCTAGCGCTGGAAAGGAGGAGGATCCGGCAAAGGAGTCCGAGAAGGGACACTGTGACAGAGGAAGAGGTCAAAGGGGGGCCCCAGAAGCCAAGTGGGAGAGAGTCACAAGAGGTCAGTGGTCGGCCGTGCCAAATGCTGCAGAGAAGCTGCTTTGGGTGAGGATGGACCAGCACTGAGCCGGGCCACCGGGGACTTGGCAGAGCTCCTCTGCAGGAGTGGCGGGGGCCAGAGTCCGACTGGAATGAATTCCAGAGGTAGCCAGAGGCAATTCCACTCCTGGGATGTGCCCAACGGAAGCGAAGAGAGACACATGCACAGGAAGACTCGTCCCAGCAAAACTGTCCCCAGTCCTGTGCTTGTGATGGCCAAGATACGGGGGCCCCCAAATGCCCTTTAACTGTAGAACAAGTCAGTTCTGGTATATTCACTCAGCGGAGCACCTCGAGAGATGGGGAGGAAGGACGCCCAGGTGACTCACAGCCGTGAGTAGAAGACACAAGGGAAGCACCATGGTGCTGGACTCCGCGTGCCAAGTTCAACACAGGCCAAAGCGCCCCACTCTCCGGCCGCCCTTGGGGATGAGAGGGGACAAGGGGCTGGGAGGGGGTGCAGCGGGGGGCTCCCTAGGGGCTGGTGATGTTCGGATTCGCAGCAGTCACACAAGTGTTCGCTTTGCGGAATGGGCTGGGCTGTGGACTTGTAATTTGTGTGCTTTTCTGTAGGTCTTATTCCTTCCATGAAGACCTTCACTTTGCGAAGGAAGATGGTGATGGGAGGGCAGTGGAGACAGAGAGTGCAGCTGGCCCCGGGGGTCGTGCTCTAAGGGGCAGAGGCTGGAACCTGAGCTCTCCGGGGCAGGGGCCCAGTACCCATCAGGGCCGACTCTGGGAGCCCTGGGAGCGTGACGACAGACTCCAAAACCTCCCGCCAATCGGCGCGGCCGGCCCCACTCTCCCGACACCCTGGACCGTTCTCGCTCCTCCACCCCCCCCTTGCTTCCCGACAGGAGGCCAGGCCGGGGACAAGCCGAGTGGCCAGCGCACGGCAGGCACACCGACGGGCGCCACCGTCGCTCGTTCGTTCGGAAACGCATCAGCCAGTAGGTACCGAGCACCTGCTACGCTCCAGGCTGCATCTGTGAACAAGATCAAGTCCGGGGGTGGGGGGCGAAACCCCCAGGACTGCAGCGAGTGCTAGGCGCTGCGGGGCGCGGCGCACCCGGCCTCCTCCACACGCCACCGCCCCGAGCGACCGCGGGAAGGCCGTGCTCAGCCTCTCCGACAGGCTCCCCACGCGCCCAAGCCGGCCAGGCGGCGCCCGGCCGCCGGCCACCCCGCCTGTCCCCGCGCCGCCGGCCCGTCCGCGAAGGGGCCAGCCGCACGCCCTGGGGCCTCCCCCGCGGCCGGGCAGCGGCCCTGGCGTCCCCGCCCCGCGCGCCAGGCCTCGGGCTCCGGCGGGGGCCGCGGCCGCTCGGCCGGGCCAGGCGGGTCGGCAGCCGGGCACCCGCGCCCCACGGCGCCCCCGCCCCTCACCGGTGGAAGGTGAGCTGCTTCCTGCGGCTGCTGTAGCGGTTGCAGCACTGCCGGGCCGCGCACGACTTCGGCATCTCTAGACGCCAGGCCCAGCTGCCCCTAACAAAGATGGCGGCGGCGAGCCTGCGGGGCGGGGCCCGGCGGGGGGCGGGGCCCGAGGACCTGAGCTGGACCGCGGGCGGGGCGGGGCCAGGGAGCGGGGCCGGCGAGCGGGGCGGGGCCTGCGGGCCGGGCGGGGGGCGGGGCCCGAGGACCTGAGCTGGACCGCGGGCGGGGCGGGGCGGGGCCGGCGAGCGGGGCGGGGCCTGCGGGGCCTGCGGGCCGGGCGGGGGGCGGGGCCCGAGGACCTGAGCTGGACTGCGGGCGGGGCGGGGCCAGGGAGCGGGGCCGGCGAGCGGGGCGGGGCCTGCGGGGCCTGCGGGCCGGGCGGGGGCCGCCGGAAGGCGGAGGCGCGCCCGCCTCCTTTCTGCTCCCGGGTCACCTCCTCGCGCGCTCCCTGTGACCTGCATCACCCGAGTCCGGTGGGCTCCGGGGTACCACGACAAGGGGTGCTCCCAGAGTCAGCCCCGGCCCGACAGCCCCAACAGCGCCGCCGGTGCGAGCCCCACCCCTTCGCGAAAGCCCGGGGCCCTCACCTCCTCGCTTTGACGAGCCAAGGCACACCCACCAACAGCCTCGGACACCTGGAAACCAGAGCAGGGCTCACCGCCCAACCCGGCCAGGATTTCCAAGATTCTAAGAGGTGTTGGTGCGTAGATTCTGGCTGCTCAAAAGGAGGTACTAGTTGACTACTAGTGGGTCCCAGATTAGAGACGGGCAGACACAGCTGAGTGAGAGGAAGAGGACAGGCGATGGGGACCCCCAAGTGTAAAGGGGCAGAATGAGCACCCCTGGGAGACCGCAAATCTGCTTGCAGAACCTCGGAGGAGGCTGCAGCTTTTAACAAAGCAGGTAACCACTCACTGGGGCTTAAGCTAATCCACAGCATGATGAAACTGCGAAAGCTATTCATGTCTATTCATACTGTGGTTTGATCCTGGAGAATTTACTAGAAAAGTGTATGAAAGGTTGTGGGCACGCTTCATCCTGCTAAACCAAACTCAGACTTTACCTCCCCAAGTCTCTATGTCATCATGGTTTGGGAGAGGGGATGAAGGGAGCAGAAACACCACTGTCCTCCCCCAGAGAAAACAAACACCTGAAGCTAGGCATGAACCTCAAAGTAGCAATATATTTATTTACAAAATATACAGTTTCACAGAAACAGCTTCGCTTTATACACATAAACTTTATAATCACACAGAACCATGTAAACGATGTTAAGTGTCTGGCCTGGCCAATGCCAATGGGAGAGGCTTACTCTTGGGGTGACATCGTTCCCTCCCCTCACTTTATTAGCCACCAACCAGGAGCCCCTAGATGGGCCATGCCTAATTTGCATAAAGCTGATTGCAGCTGCCCAGCTCAAGCAAACACAAAAACCAAGGTGTCCTGACTTCCTAGGACACCACCCACAGGGATGGAGATCTGTTAAAGGAACAAAAAGGAAAGGAAGGAAACAGATCGAAAGGACTACTGAGTACCTTCCAGAGGTGTCACCAGGCATCCAACCTTCTAAAAGCAATACAGCAATCGCCAGGCCTGGCAGTTCCGCTCTAAAATCACACATATTCTTAAATGCACTTTTAAAACTTCGTGGAGTTTTTTTAAAAAAGAAAAACACTTTGGAACTTTGGCTATTCTCATGGTGAAGACACTGGACAGGCAATGTCATGGGGCAGATCTTTGGCAAATTCCTCTCCAACTTTTCCTGGACGTTTGCCCTCATCAGAGCCAGACAGCTGTCTGAGGAGAAGGTGGTTTCTAAGCCCGCTTCTTACTGTTTTTCTCTACAGCAGAACTTCTCCCTTGGGGATCTTCACGATAAACTGGGTTTCAGAAACTATTTCTCTCTATTTCTGTGTTAATATAACCAACAGAATTAAAAACAAAACACAACAAAAAGCAGCTGGCTGGTGAAGCATGAACGATACTAGCGCAGAACATGGGCTCCGATCAGCCAATTCGAGTTCAAGCCCCCTTTGTGCCCCGGGGAGCCCAGCACGAAGGTGCCACATGAAGACCCCAGCAGAGAGACCGGGGGTCCACCCTGCTGTAAATAAATAGGACCAACTTGGGCATTCTTCCCTTTTCATGCTTCACGAGAAACAATGTGTATGAAAACACACCCATCTACTTACCAAAAAAAAAAAAGTTTTTGAGAAAAGTATTTGAACTGCTAAAGAGCACTGTCAACTCTGGAGAAAGTGGGAGCCTTCCTGTCCCTGCAGGCCCCAGAGCCACCGGCGGCAGCCCAGGGTACACGGCCCTCGGACAGAGCCCTGTGCGAGCTACAGGCACAAACTCCTGGGCTTCTCCAGGCCGGGCTGGCACCGGAGGCTCCCCGGTCCAGGGTCCCAGTTCAGGTCGAAGGAAGTCTGCACAGTTCAGTGGTATATTCCTGGAGGCCAATGTTACCATACCGCTCACTCGCCAATTTCAAAACAAAACAAAACAACAAAAAACAAAAAAGGCGTCAAATCCTAACCTTGCCCCAGGAAACCAGCAGGCCAGCCTGTCTGAGGGCATCCTAAGAATCAACCACAGGAGAGGCCTTCCCTTCGAGTTTTCTCTACCTCACGAAGTAGAGGAACGCCGTTCCCGTGACTGCCTAAGGTTTACGTTGCTACTGGAACAAGGTGAGGGAAAGAGAGGAGGACAGAATCCAAGTGCCCTCTCGCTTGAAAACAGCTCGCCTGGGCACCCCTAAGACCTCATACACCAACTGGAAAGGGCACCCCGGCAGAAATCTGCCAATACTTTTGGCTATATCGTGCAAAAAAGACAGGTTTTTTACATCGTGCAAAACAGGAAACTGAGTTATGAACACGGGCCACCTCAACCCCCCCAACCAACCCCTTTTCCGCCAAGAAGTGGCCACACACTGTCCCTTTTAAACAAACAGAAGGAAACCGAGGGATCACTAGCTAGCCACCGCCGCAGGGCTCCGCTCAGAGTGAGACCAGAGGACTCTAGCTGGCAGCCTGCAGGGACAAACAGACAGCAGCTAAGGCAGGGAGAGGGCAGGCCACGAAGGTAGGGGCAGCTCGATGGTTGCTGTACAGACACTTACGGTCAAAGACTTACACTTGGGAAAAAGCTTACACGTATGGCTGTTCATTAACAGGCCTGGGAAACTGAACATCTCCTCTCCCAAGACAGCGGAAGCAGGAAAACAGCTAGCGCTGGTTCCAGCCGGCGGAGTTTGTTAACAATGATAGCAAGAATTCATAACTACCACGTACCCTCACTTTCAGCTGAACCGAACCCACTGTACTTGGGTGGTGAGCCCCCCTCCACTGCAGAGAACACAGCTCTAGCAGCAGCTTTGGCCAACAAGGATTTTATTCAGTCACTGGCAGATACAGGTCCTACCCCGGACAGCCCGCCCTTTTGCTTAGGCACCTGAATGGCAGGGGTCTGCCCGCACCAGAGCTGAGAGTTCTGTGCTCAACTAAGAGGAGCCAAAAGGCCCCTCGTCCCTTCTGATTCCTCGCCCATGCTCTCCTCGCTCACCAACAGTCAGTCCAGAAACAGTTTCCGCGAGCCCATTCGGGAACGGTTGGAGCGGCGGATGTCAAACTTGGAGTCCCGGCACTTTTGGCAGACAAACACTTCCGGAACATTGGACTTCCGTATTTTCGCACAGGACAGGTGAATCCAGGTATGGCACTCGTTGCACTCTATCATAGGGCGGCCAGCAAACGGCTTCATGCAGAAGCAGGTGACGAGGTCCCAGGAGTCGTCATCTGAAGGGAGAGACACGTGTGTGAAGAAGAGAGCAAACACTGCCTGCACTCCCTCCCCCAGCGAGGTCCCTCCCCCAGCCCCCGGGGGCGCGGGGGGCAGAGCAGCTGAGCTGCAGTGAAGCCTGATCCTCAACACACACCCACTGAAGGGCAGGGCAGTGGAGTAAATGCGTGACCAAGGACACTGAAATGTGTGGCACCAGGAATTAACCGTGAGATGTTTACTGAGAAGCTGTATGTATTTTTCTATTTTGAGGCCTGTCCTGGAATCTCAGCTGTTTCTAGCTGCAATCACCCCCTTCCCAAACATCTCAGTGTCCACCTTCCGATACCGTTCTCTCTAGGGGTGGTGGGCACACTCTGCTGTCACCCTCCAGGGAAGGGACCGCTCTTCGGACCCCCTCAGGGGCCACTCACCCGAGTCCACCATTATGTCCTCATCATTGCCAGTGCTGTCCTCGTCCCGGAACACCACCTGCTTTCCCTGCCGGACAATAGTCCGTTTGCCTTCAGTTTTTATTTCTTTGACCTGATCAGGTGACACCGTGACACAAGATCCACTGGAAGGAGTATCGGAGTCCCAGCCCGAGCAGGGGTCGCCGGGAGCCTGGGGGATATCCTGCAGGGTGGGACTCGTGGGGGTCTCCACGTAGGGGTCAGCGGCTTCCAGCTTCAACAGGCTCCCCATGTACCCCTCCTTCACGGGCACGTCGCTGTCCCTTCGCTTCCTCTTCTTCTTCTTCTTCAGCTTGTCGGTCTTCTTTCTGTCCAGCAGGAAGTTACTGGGCTTGGCTCGCTGCAGGAGGGTGGGCTGCAGGTGGCCAAAGCAGCGGTCGGAGACCGGCAGGGGCACGGCCGACGCAATGTCAGTGAAGCCCGTGTCCCAGCCGTCGCTGTCAATGGTGCCAGCTGTGCTGTTGGCAGGGCTGGGGCTGCTCCTCAGAGGGAGCTCCTGAAAGGACAGAAGCACAGGTAGCCGGGGCCGAGTGGTGTGACTAGTCCCCGGCAACAAGGGCTGGCCCCAAGCAGAGCTTCCCAGGCTCCGCACCCCCACCCTCCAGCCAGGTCAGGACTACAGACGAGGGCTATCAGAACCGTGACCTTCTCGGCTCTCGTAAGCAGTGCTCTTTAGGAATGGTGTCATGAGTACTTTACTATGACCTTCCAGATAGAATGTGAACCCACCAGGAGGAAAACCTTCCCTTGCTGAGCCCTCAGCCCCTGTCCCAGAGCCAGGAACTCATTTGATGCCCAGTAAATATCTAGAAAGATGCCAACAACACCCTCTCATACCCCCTTATCTTT